CCCCCCCCCCCGGCCGCTGCGGGGCCCCACCATCCCTGCAAACCTCTCCCCAGAAGAAGCCAAACCTGGAGCTGGCCGGGGGCACTCAGCCATCCTCGGCCCAAAACCACGGCTCTTGCCCTTCCCAGACGGAGGGAGGCAGAGCAGGAGCGGGAGGCACCTGGGTCTCCTGCAGAGGGTCTTCTCCACCGTTTTGATATCCACACAGCTGCTCATGTCCCAAGCAAGCACAGTGGGTCTGGTCATCAGGCTCCGGTACCACCTCCATGCAACGTTCGACGGTTCCCCATGTGAACCCAAGGGAAGGACGGCAGCAGCGATGCTGCGGGCTGGTGACGCGGCCGCCAGGGAAGTTCCCAGGCGTGATGGTGGCTTTGCACCTGGAAGGGATGGTGGGCAGAGGAGTTGGGACATGCAGCAGAAGGGAGTGATGCTGAAGAACAAAAAGAACCATCCGTGTCTTTAACCTCTTCCCCTGGAAGCTATTGGGACTGTCTGGAAACCCTTCCACAGCCATCAAAGGGTATTTCAGCTTAAAACAGAACGAAAAAACCAAAACCAAAGGTTGCGTAACTGAGGTATCAGTAGCTCTGCGTCGCTTCGACTGTCCGCAGTGCCGTGCCGCGTTGGCCGGCAGATCTTCCTATTTGTTTTTCCCGAGAGCTGCATCTACTTCTTCCTCTGGCTTCAGCGAGTGCCACTGGGCAATGGGCCGCCGGGGGTTGGCCAGCATGTCAGACCAGTGCCGCAGCTCCGTGCCGGTGGCGTTGCAGCCTGTGAAGATCTTGCCGATGGCTTCATTCTTCCCCAGCTTGTCGTAGTCCAGCACCGTGATGACCACCTGCACTTTCTAAAGGAGAAAACCTTCTTTAGAGGGGCGGAAAGGCACAGCGGCCATGATGGCTCCACGGCCTCCATGCTGTCCCCAGCCCCGGGACGGCTCAGCAGGGTGCCCCAGGGATCCCCCAAGGCTGAGCCCCACCGGGGCCCATTTTGGGGAAGGGTCCCCTCCATGCCCATAACTTCCTCCACTTCATTCCCAGAGGATCCCGGGGTGGCAGAGCCGTGGTGGGGGCCCAGCTCATCCTCACGCGGCCACCTGGGAAAGGGCACCGAGGGCTGGTGTGGGGCTCAGCAAGAGCTGCAGGCTACAGGGTTTGACGGAGCTGGGCTGGGGCAGGGGGCATGTACAGGGGCTAGGGCAGGATATGGAGGGGCAGAAAGCGCCTACCAATGGTCCAAAATGCCCCTGGGGTTGGAGGTTGCATCTCCCATGAGTGCTGCCCAGCCTCCCACCTCTGCCCCTGCACCAGCTGCCCTCAGCATCAGCCCAGGCCCAGGTTGGGACTGGACATATTTTATGGGTGACCAGACCAGAAGCTCGGCAGGAGCCACTCAGGCTGGTGGGAAGGCTGGGACATGGGCTCGGGCAGCTGCAGGACTTCACCCATTGCCCCCACCCTGCCTGCCTCCCAGGGAAGTCATTGGACGAACCTGTATCTGCTCAAAGGGGATCTCAAAGCTGAAGGACTCGTTGAAGTAGGGGTTCAGGGTCTTCTTCTTGACTGTGGTCTTCTTCTTCTTCAACCTCTTGCCATTCTGCAGCAGGTGGATCTTCACGTAGGGATCTGTGTGGGGGGGGGGGGGGGGGGGGCCTTTTTGTGGGACATGAAAAAAGAAATTAATGTGTTAGTATTTTGATTTTTCTGGCAGAGGGAAGAGGAGATACAGAGGGCAGGAGGGTGCATCAGCCAGGGCTGAGATGCCCAGAAGTCCTGGGCTCATGGGGAGAGTCCTTACTCGTGGGGTAAAGAGGCCCCAACGAGTAAAGGTGCTCTGAGGTTTGTGGATGGAGGCCAAATCCAAAATATTTGGGCTGGAAAGGATTTGTGGGAGCAACTGGCCAAGGGATGGAGCTCTTTCACGTCCTGTGGGTCTCCTTGTAGGAGGGCTGGGGACAGTGGAGTGACACCGGTAGGTGCTGGCCTGTCACCCCCATTTCTGGAGCAGGACACCCCAGCAATAAAGCTGAACCCTTCCAGCCATGCAGGTACTGCTCTTCTCCTGGTTAAGGCAGGTCTGGAGGAAGCTGAGGACCCCTGGGCAGAGAACTCAGCCCTGGGATGGAGATGGGAAGACTCTTCTAGCATAAAACATGCAGTTGACAGAGGTCTTCAGCCCCAAGTTGAGGAGGAGCAGGACCAGGAGCAAATGGCAGAGGAGCATTTTCACCACCCAGGTCCTGCAGCATCCTGGCCCTGGACACAGTGGTGGACCAAATTCGATGTGTCCTTCCTAGGGGTTGAGGGGCTCATCCCATTCCCATCTCCCCTCACCCCCCAGCCAGACTGTGGGCTGCCTCCAATGCAGGAGGTCCCAGGAACTGGAGGGGGCTTCCCCGAGCCCTGCCAGATGGATAGCCCCAGTGTCCTTCCCCAACAAAGGATGCCGAGAGCCCCACAGTGGGGCAGGAGGAGGATGCCCACGAGCTGACACCCACCTGAGAGGCCTCCAACATCCATCTTCTTCAGGTTCTTGGCCTCTAGGATGCAGACAGTGAGTTTCCCGGCCGTGGGCACGTACCGGAGGGAGATGCAGATATCTCCTAGCTTCTCTGGCTGCCAAGCGGAGCGGGGAGCAGATATCAAAGCCTTGCCAGTGCATTGTACCACGGTGTTGGGACACGGTCCCGCATGCAGGTCCCCCCAAACCCTGCTCAGCCTTTGAGGCAGGCATGAGCTGGCACTCCGTGCACCGGCACAAGGGTTTGATCACTTGGGGCTGGGGCAGGCCAGTCCCAGCGCAGCACCCAAGACATTTATACTCTTCGTTTTTGTTACAGAAAGGTTTTTGCACAGGGGAACAACAGGGGCAGATCCTGCCCAGAACTCATAGCCATGGCATTCAGGTGGGACCCCACAGCGATCGCCATCCCAAGGATTGTGGGATGGCCCAGAAAGCAGAGCACATCTCAACCCCCCTGGCCAAGGGTTTCAGCTGGCCGAGGGCCTTGCGCCGGCCCTGCTCTCACCTCCTCCTTCTCACCGCTCTGTAGGTCCCGCCACTCCTCGATGGGCTGGCCCAGGTCCACCGTGTTCATGGGCACCTTCACCTCACCGATGATGTCGTGCTTGGAGAAGCGATCGAAGTCATAGATGGCCATCACCAACGTCTTCCCGCCGAGTTCCTGGTAGGGGACCTGCACAAAGATGGCCACTGGGCTGGCAACGGGCTCAGAGGAGCCCAAGCCAGGACTATCCACTCCCAGCAGCGAGGGTCAAAGTACAGGACCGGGACACAGTCAGGGGGAAAGATGGGAGTGGGAGACGAGGTCCCGTGTTGTGGGTGGGAAGGGGCTCACCTTGAAGGTGAAGGTCTCATTGAAGGCAGGGTTGAGTGTCTTCTTCTGCACTTTGGTCTCGTACTTTTTCTTCTTGTCAGGGAGCAGGAACACCTTGACATACGGGTCTGAGGTGCCACCCATGTCCAAAGCTGGCAGTTCGGCGGCTTGGAGGATCCCCACTGTCAGCTGGAGGGGGTAGAGGGGTGTCTTCAGCGAGACGGCCCAGCTACGCGCTGCAGATGCCAAGGGCTTGTCTCCAGCCAAACGTGGGGCAGGACTCCCCATGGCACAGCACCCAGCTCCCTCCTGTGCCACCCAGGTCCAACAGGGAGACTTCTCTCAAATACCCACCCTGGGCAAGCCCCACTCCCCCATCCCCTCAGCCGAGTGCCAGCCCCTCCATCACCTGGTTCGCCTGGAAATCGTAGTCCAACGAGAACTGCAGCTTGCCCAGGTTCTCCGGCTCCTTCTCCTCCTCCTCGCCTTCCCCCTCCGTCAGACCCATCTCTGCGTCATCGTCGTCCTGTTGGTCCTGCAACGACAGCGCAGGGGC